ATACATTCTAGCCATTGTCGTTGCGCTTTTTGGTCATCCTTGTGGCCTTCATGACTCCCATGCTTAGGGTGTCTTGGTGGATTTCTAGGATCATCATGAGTTTTAGGAGAAAGAGCATAAGAGGGATCAAGGATGTGATTAAAGATGTGATCAGATGAGACATCTAATATGGGCATAGAAAGGGAGAGAATAGGAATGGCTTCTAGATAGCTTGGCTCTCCTTCTATGGTTTCACTAGACATGGCACCCTTGTGTTCTTCCCAATGTCCTATATGGGAATAAGGACACTTTCCAAGAGATCCCTTCTTGAGAGGATTTGAATTATATTCGCTAGAAGGTCTCTTGTGGAACTGGAAGTTTAAGCTTTTCCCAAAATCAGCATCAAAGAGGCCTTCTCACAAGAAATTTCAAAAGGTTGAATTTCTTCTTCCCTTGGAGGATTTTGGGATATTGATGGTTCAAGATTGACAGCTAGATCTTATGATTGGAGTGGTTGTGATTTGGCTATCAAAACTTTCTCTTCTCGTTCGGGAGATGATTCCTTCTCTTCCTTGGGGAGTTCATTATGAATGCTAGTGTAGGGAGTCTTTCCACTAATTCTATCAAGCATAGATCTTGCTTCACTAGCAGATAAATGAAGGAAAGCTCCTCTAGAGGGTGCATTAAGGGATTCCATGGAATCCTTGCTAAGACCTATATAAAAATGTTGAAGAAGTATAGGGTCTTGAATGGCAAGGTCTATACCAGTGATGATGAGTTCATTAAAATGATCCCATGATGTACCAAGAAAATTTTCTCCTAGTTGCCTAAAATTTAGAACCTCTTTCCAAAGGCTAACCACTTTAGAGATGCAAAAGAAACGTAAACAAAATTTAGAGCATAACGTTTCTCAATCTCCTTGCATAGTTCCTACGGTTTGACTGTACCAATGTTTAGCTCATCCCATCAAAGAGAACAGAAACAACTTCCATCTTAAGGTTTTGTCAGACATGCCAGCGATACGCAAGCATGCACAGGTCTATTCAAACTCTTATAGGTGTGAGTATGGGTTTTTGTTGCCTTCTCCCAAGAAGGATTTATTCCGAATCAATTTTATAAAACACGGGCGCAGCTCATAGCCAGGTGTTAGGATAGGCTCTGAAGATTTTGGTGGCTCTAGGCTTGTACTCATGGGTTTAACATATTGATAGATAGGAGTGGAATCCATGTTAAAAGAAAAAGTAAAATAAAATGTTAAGCTAGGCTCAAAGTTAATTCAGCAACTGTTTTTCCGGCAACGGTGCTAGAAAGCTTGTTGGTATATTTAACGCACACAGATAAATCCTTAAGCGCACGGATATAGCTGTAGCTTTCACCCGGAGGAATTCCAAGTATCGTATCCACAAGAGAACGTGTGGGACTAACTACGATCTAACTTAACTAAGGGTAGCAACATGGTTAGGATAAAGTTCTCTAGTTCTAACTTTGGTAAGCTTATGTCTTCTACTATTCAACTAGGGACATTACTAGGGAAAGACACTAGCAAAGGATGCTTTTCTTCGTAACCGTGTCCTACGTGTGCCAACAGACGGGAGGTGGACTACAAAGGATCATCAAACCTATATAGTTCAGGCTATATAGAACTTATGTCACTCACGTGATCTGCCACCTTTCAGAATGTAGGGTGTATCCACAATTAACCTAAGTCTAAGCATCACGCTTACATTTACGATTAATATTGTACCCCCCCCTAGGAAGAGAATAAAGCACTCAAAAGTGAGTCGTGAACCTGAGAAACAATATAAACAAGATGCTTACTTGAATCAGAAGTTGATTACCAGAGAAATCTCAGATGCAATCTCAGATAGAACTTGAATCCGTCAAGGTACAAGCAGTAAAGAGAGCGCTGATAGGCCGACACCTCCTCCAAACTCTTCCCTCACTCTCTATCTCACTATTATTTATAAGACTAGATCCTATGGAGGACTAATCTTCTCTTGATAGCTGGCTCTGATCCTCATGATATGAATTAGGGTTTCTGGATTGCCTCTAGGGAGGGGGTTAGGGGCTGCTATATATAGGCCGAGGTGGAGTAGGGGGCTAGGAATCAAGGTGGAGTAGGGGGCAAGGAATCGCCACGTCATCAATCCACGTCAATCCCTCGATCACCGTTGGATGCACCGACTATAAACCATCTTAAATTAATGGTGTAGATCTTAGAAATGCATATGAGGCGGCGGAGGGCAAATGAACTCTGGAGTAGGCTGGCCGGCCTAGGGCTTGAGCCGGTTGGCCCACTTTCATGGCCGTTTGGCCCTAGCTTTGGCGTGGTGCCTTCTGGAACCTTCTGGAGTTGGTTTTCGTAGTTTTCGCGGATTGAATCACTTGTTGTTGTCGGTTTGTTTGTTTGGAGTGTATGACAGTGGTCCTGAGAGCTGTTTTCTAGATAAATCCTCCTACATACAAATATTTACCAAAGCTCGTGGAATTCATTAGTTTAAACCCCTATACCTATGTTTGGTGATGAAATTAAATATAAATGTAGGTTATGTTAACGGTTTATAATTGGTGTTATTGACCGTCAACAATGGACATTTTAGAGAAATATCCTAAAGTTGAATTAAACAAAATATTTGAATTATAAAACCGGGTCAAACCTTAGTCATGTTTTATTTATAAATTTATAAATATCTCTAAATATTTAGGTCATTGAAATATTTATAATTTAGAAAACATGGAACATGTGTGAGCAACTAACTGAATCTCATATGTTTTACGCTTAAACTAAACAAGTTATAATTAATAAAGACACATTGAAATTGATATTAATTAAGTTAACATTTATTTATAAAAGACAGGATAAAACCTTAAATTACTTTTAATTAGAAAATTGGCATAAATATTAATCAAATTAATATTTAACTTGTACAATTTAGAGGTGGGAGACATGCTACACATTGCTACTAACACGTAGCATGCGTTGGCTCGACCACAACCCGACAAAAAACGGAGCTACGACCCTAAGTTGCTTTTAATTAGAGAGCTATTAAATAAATATTAATCAAATTGCATTTAAACTAATAAATTCACAATTAAACAACCTGATAAACACTACCGCTACTGTATAGAGCGCAACGCTACGAAACTAAAGCAATCTGAACGAACTAAAACGGAGCTAAAACCATTAAACGGTGGAGATTAAGAGAACGATGGCAAAACCGTAATTAACTGCATCTTCTACCTTGGTCTGTTTCATCTGAACGTGGCCATGGCAGCTAGCTGCTGCTGCACTCGCGTGCAGGGGAGGAACTCCGGCCGAGCTCGGCCAGCCGACGGCAGCCGAGGCGTGCCTGGTCCGCGGGGGCCGCGGGGCCAGGGAGGGGCCCGACTCGGCTGCCCAAGGCGGCGGCGGCAGGGGCTCCCGCACGGGCCTGAATGGTCGGCGGCGGTCCGGCTTGACCGCGAGCAGGCGCACGCGCACGCGATGGGCAGCGGCGCGGGAGGCGTGGGGCTGCGCGGACCGAGGCGCGACGTGCCCAAAGGAGAGGCGCAGGGCGACGGGGTGGCCGGAGAAGACGAAGAACATGGCCGGCCATGGTGCTCCTCACCGGAAAAGAGAGAGAAAGGTTAGGAAAACGATCAAACGAGCATGGATTCGCGAAACGAAGGGAGTGCCGGTGTATAGAATGACGATACAAACCTCAAAGCGGTGACGGTTTCCGTAGGGGACGCCGGAGATGGCCGAAAAACCTCGCCGAAGGTTCGCCGGAAATGTTCGCCGTGCAAACTTCAGCGATAGGTCTGCGAGGCTACGAGTGGCGGATCCATATAGGGTTTTCAGATCTGTAACGAGCGCGCTGAGGTCTGCGCCGGCACATATATATTCCTAGGGTTTGAGATCAGGAAAAAATCGAGTTATTTTTATAATTTCAGAAATTCCAGAAATTCATTTTCAGTTTAAAAACAATTCTAGAAAAATCTGAAATTATTTTAAATCCCTGAAAAGTATTCCAAAAATTCAAGGAAAACTTCTATGGATAGATTGAGAGATGATGAATCCAAATAAAGTATTTGACGCCCATGAAAAGGGATTTTAGAGCGTTTAGAAATTGGATTTTTCTCTAGGAAAATGGGAAAAGTTCCAAGAAAGTCTAGAAAATTCCCGGACGATCGACGTCTAGACGTGTTTAGAAAATGCACCACAAACAAAAGCACAAAACTCAAGCAACAAGCATGCACCACATCAACAAAAGCCCATCAAACTAATTTAGAAATGTTTGGAAAAGCACCATTTTCTTTAGTGAAAATATACGGAAATCTAAACGAATGTTGACAAATTTTATCCAATTATAAAAATCATTCTTTTTTATTTAGTGTTTTCTATTCACAACCCAAAATAGAAATTTTGGGGTGTGATAGCTCGTGTCACCTCGCTTGCATCCTAGGAGGATACAGCGCCGGGGATCTCCTCACCCGGATCCTCTGCGGCTGCTGCACCTGTGCACTCCTCGACGCCCAGTGCTCGTCGCTCAACAACACGGCTTCAACAAGGTATAAGCAAGCCAAAAAATTTATACCAACAGTACTATATGCTGGTGTATGACAGCTACTACTGCTAAGGGACCTGCCATAGTGTCTGAAGCACTATAGGATCCAAAGTGGGTGGCAGCCATGGACAATGAATACAAGGCCTTGTTACACAGCAAGACTTGGCACTTGGTTCCTCTTGAGAAGGGCAAGAACATCATTGATATATTAAAAAGGGGTCTATAAGGTGAAGAGGAAAGCAGATGGCATAGTTGATAGGTACAAGGCTCTTCCTGTTGCAAAGGGCTATAAACAATGGTATGGAATTGATTATTAGGACACTTTTAGTCCTGTTATCAAGGCATCCACTATTTGTCTTATCTATAGCAGTGTCCAAAAGACGGTCACTTCATCAACTTGATGTTAAGATTGCTTTCTTGCATGGAGTGCTTGAAGAGGAAGTATGTAAGTGCCAGCCACCTGGGTATGCTGATATGGCGAAGAAGAATTATGTGTGCAAGCTGGACAAAGCTCTGTATGGACTGAAGCAAGCACCACATGCTTGGTATGCATGGCTCTATGGTAAATTAGAGGCTCTCAGATTTGTGCCCTCCAAGGCGAACACATCTCTTTTTTATTATAGAAGAGGAAAGCTTGTTATGTTTGTCTTGGTGTATGTTGATGATATAATTGTGGCAATCTCCTCTCATGAAGCAACGGGTGCCTTGCTTGAAGACTTGGAGCAAGAGTTTGCATTGAAAGATCTTGGGGACCTCCATTATTTTTTGGGTATTGAAGTGCAAAGATCCAGAGATGGCTTGAAGCTGTCACAAGGGTGATATGCTGCATATATCTTACAATGAGCTGGCATGAGCAAGTGCAAGGCTATTAATACACCTTTGTCCAAAAATGAAAGACTTAGTGCAACTGAGGGGGCAAGCTTGGACCAGACGACTCCATGAAGTATAGAAGCATAGTGGGGGCATTGCAATACCTTACAATTACTTGTTCGAATATCTCTTTCTCTATGAATAAAGTTTGTCAGTTTCTTCATGAGCCAACCATAGTTCATTGGGGGTCTGTTAAGAGAATACTCAAATATATGCAAGGTTCACTGACTACTACACAATGCTAATAACCGCTAGCTCTAGAACCCCGATTACCGATGGTTTTGGTCCCCATTGGTGTAAGTAGGCGGTGATCAGCGACCTTTATCTCCGCTGGCTGCGCACCGATGGTGATGGTATTTTACCACCATCGGTCTGACGTAACATCCGGTGGTGATGGTATGTTACCACCGTCGGCCCGGCGTACCGTCCAGCAGTGACAATGCGTCCATCGACGCCGGCCCGACGTACCATCCGGCAGTGATGATGCATCCATCGACACTGGCTCGGTGTACCATTCGGCGGTGATGATGCATCCATTGATGCCGGCCTGACGTACTGTCCGGAGGTGATGATGCCTCCATCGACGCCGGCCCAACGTTCCGCCTGGCGGTCATGATGCAACCATCGATGTCAGCCTGACGTACCATCCGATGGTGATGATGCAACCATCAACGCTGGGCTGGTGAACCATCTGGCGGTGATGTTGCAGCCATCGATGCTGGGCTGGCGTACCATCCGGCGGTGATGATGCAGCCATCGACGTTGGGCCGACGCGGCATCCGGTGGTGATGATGTACCTATCATCATCGGGTTAGCGTACCAACCGGCGGTGATGATGGACCTATCGATGCCAAACCAGCATACTACCCAGCTATGATGATGAGAACATCATTGCTAGACCAGCGTACCATTCGGCTGTGGTGATGAGAACATCAATGCCGGTCTAGCATACCATCCGTCGATGATGTAGGTGCTAGCGCACGTGGTTGGTGTTCCCTCCGGGGGCAGCGTCACTGCTGCCATTGTGTTTGTTCCGGCAGTAATGTTTTGTCCATTACCATTGGCTTTGCCACTGTGCATCATTATTGTTCACAATACATTATAACACCAACAATACAGAAATTAAATTTCATGGCTTATGCATCGCCAGCAACATATATCTTTTTCAAAACACCACCGAGACAAATATCCATACAAAATGACAGCAACATACATAGTTTTCAACCACAGCGACATAACATCCAAATCCAACCACAACAAATATATAGTTTTCCGAACACAAACTGATGTCCAAAATAAAACCAGCATTCCAAGGTCAGGAACTGTAGCACCTTGATTAGATAAGGTGATGGTCTCCATAATGAAACCGTCAAGATCTTCTTACAGCCCAGATATCTCCAAAATGGTTAGCTCCACTAAAGATGACACTACTGTCTACAACACAAGAAAAAAGGTGAAAGACAGTTAAGACAACTTTGCTGCACAGTCTAAGTAGGCTGCTAGGTTGTCAATTGACTGATGGGCTTTAGGGGCAAACCTCTGAGCTAGAGGATAGATCATAGATGAGGATGCATGCGCATTAGATTCATCCCACTCACTAAATCACTCCAATACTCTTGTTGATGCAGGGAATTTACTCCATTCTGACTTGATGCCCTTCCTTACATATTGGGTGTTCAGGTAGTACCTTAAATACTTGAATGAGTTGCCCATGATAAAGAATGTCTAATCCTTTGCCACCTCTTCATCAAACCCATCAGGAAAAACAAATAGGTCCTTCAGCTTCTCCTAGCAAAGATTGTTCAGACTAGATGGAACCGCCCATTCGCTGCCTGGTTGTTTCTAGTACCTGTACTTGATGGGTATGTTGTCCTTCACTAACACTCGGATGGCTGTCTTGTAAGGCCCCATGACACCAAATGGCACCATGGGTTCTTCGGCCGGATCCAACTCGGTGATAAACTATTTACTGGTGCGCAACTTGCTCTGCTCTCGCCTAGCCTAGCGCCTAGGAGGCCTATCTAATGTGGTTGTGTTACTCTCGATGGGAGCTTGCTCCAGCACGTATTGATCAAATACTCAGGTTGTAAGATTGTTCTACATATAACAGAGTAATTGAATCAGCTACGGATATATGTAGATGGATTACCCCACCGATTCCCCAAGGTCAAGGTACCATGAAGGGGATGGCTCCATAGGTTCTCTGGTCAGATCCAACTCAGTGATACCCCGGTGCCTAGCAGGCCTATCTGCTGTGGTTGTGTCACTCTTGGTGGGAGCTTGCTCCTTCACATATAGATCAAATACTTAGGCTATGAGATTGTACTATATATAACAAAGTAATTGTCTCAGCTATGGAAATACGCAGATGGATTCCCCCACCGATTCCCCCAAGGTCAAGGTACGAGGAAGGGGACGACGGGCAGACACCCTCAGGTGCTGGTACTTCATGAGCAATGAGCCTTGCTTTTTTTTTCTACGTAAAACAGGAGGGGTTCCCCCTTAATGGGATTTTTTAAAACGAGCTATGCATATACTCCCGCCATCCTTGTAAAAATCCTAATAGAACACAATGTTGTCAAGCCATTCAATTCAAAAGTCAAAACATAGCAAAAAAATGACTTGATGCTAACTAGCAAGCTCCCACCGAGAACATTCATATATGTGTACACATAACCAAACTAAGAACTTTATAGGTGATGACAAACCTTGCGATGAAGGTGTTGTACAAGTCATTTTGGACCTGCACAAATAAAGCAAGCCTTGTTCAACACTAGATGCATGCCCAAGCTCTAGAGGAGTACATATTAATGTAGTGAACTGAATAAAATATGAGCAAACCGAGTGTTCTGGCGATGCCTGGCACTCGATTGCATTTACAATGTCTTTTTACATATTTATAATGCCTTATTACTACATTTACAATGAATTCTTCACTGTAATTTATTGGACACAGTGATGCAATTTGGGGATAACACAACTTCTATTTCTATGGATTGCAGATCTCAGAGAAATATATGCTAAATTGTATAGAAAAATTACAAATTATTTCTATGGATTGCAGATCTCAGAGAAATATATACCAACTTGTTTAGAAAAAATTACAAATTATTTCTATTAATTGCAAATCTCAGAGAAATATATGTCAAGTTGTTCACATATGCGAGAGACAGAACATACGAAAATGAAGATGCAAACGGATGTAATGGATCGGAAGCTTAAAGAACAAATGCCGATAATATCTAACGGTCACAAAATCACGTGCTGGACACTTCCAAGGCAAACGAATGCTAGTTAGCTTTTCTCTCAAAGGTACTGAATGAAAACTAAAAGCAGTGACGGATGTACCCATATGATAGTTCTACTTCCAAATAGAGGTCTACAAAATGTTTTCTTTAAATATTGGTCCTAAATGGAATGCAAACACAATGAGCAAAAAGAGCAGTTGTCCTACAAAAGGGTGGAGGATAGGTTAGACTCAAAGGGGACCAGGGCCAATCCAAAGTTTGTTTCCCTTAGATCGGCGGGAAACAACAGCTGGCGAGATGGAATTGGACAGATAGCAAAACGAATAGCGGGCTCGACTGCGGCCAATGAATGGTGAAGCGGGGTGGGGGAGCCATCAAATGGAGCTGTGAACCAGATTTATGGAGGAGAGCGGGCAGAATGGCAGGGCGACGGCAAGAGGGAAGCGGCTCCGGCGAATGGTGGAGCAGGGCGAGGGAGCTGGCGAACGACGCATCGACCTAGTGTTGGTGTTTCAATCAAACACCGGCTAGTAAATTTATAATTGATGTGCGTTAGGCCCGGATGGTGTGCTAAAGGACACAAGGTTTATACTGGTTCAGGCTGAATGTCCCTACGTCCAGTCTATTGCTGCTCGTGTTATGAGCACCGAAAATGGTTCGTAGTAGGGGGTACAAACGGTTGAGAGAGGGACTAGTCCTAAGTCTCTGATGGAATGGTCGAAAGGCTGCCAAGAGCCTGGTGGCAGCTCGGCTGTGTATGATGTGTGTTGTTGAGTCGTGTTCGTTGGACTCTCTATGAGCTTATTCGTCCCTTTAGCGGGGTGCCCTGCTCTCCCTTTTATAGACCAAGGGGGAGCAGGGGTTACATGTTGGAGAAAGGAGAAAAACCAGAGGCCAAGAAGCCCCTCGGAAGGCGTTGGACCCTCCTTTTCCTGCTGAGCCAGCCTCGCTGACACGACCAGATGGTGTCACGGTTTAGCATGCTCATCGGACGCCTGTGTGCTGACGATGCCATGCCCTTGCCGGATCAGCAAGTGGTCACGTCCCGTCCCACCCCTTCGGGTGGCGCATCGGACAAGGGTGTTGACCTGTAGCCATTCGGGGAGCGAACGGCACGGTGATGATATGTTCATCACTATAGAGGGTGCGAGTTTTTCTTGGACCATAGCGGTTGTCGTATATCTATGTCAGGTTCCATGTCCAAGGGCTGAAGGCGGCACCTACAATACTATTCAGACCCTAGCACGCCCAGAATGGCCTAAAGCGCCCATCCTGTCGTACCCTGGTGGTACTTTCCTGCCGTGGTGGGGCATGGTCCTTGGTGCTGCGTTTGACTTGAATGTCAGGTCGTACCCTGTGCTCATCATTATGAAGGCGTAGGGTGTACTCATCGAGCAAGGTGGAGTCTGCCCTCGGCCGTCGGGCAAGGCGGATCCTGTCCTCAGCCATCGGGCGAGGCGGAAATTGCCCTCGGACGTCGGGCGAGGTGGAGCCAGCCCTCGAGGGTCGGGCGAGGCGGAGCCAGCCCTTGGCCGTTGGGCGAGGCGGGCTCTAGCCCCCAGAGGTCGGGCAAGGCGGAGCCAGCCCTCGGGGGTCGGGCAGGGCAGAGCCAGCCCTCAAGGGTCGGGCGAGGCAGAGCCAGCCCTTAGCCGTCAGGCAAGGCAGGCTCTAGCCCCCCAAGGTCGGGTGAGGCGGAACCAG